ATATCTCCTGCACTTTGGTTCACAAAGGCAGTGTTGACCATCCATTGATTTTCTTGACTCTCTGGGTCAAATGAGGTGTAGAGTCTGTATGCTTCACAGAGCTTCTCATAGAAAGTGCTAGGGCTTTCCCCCAGGCCTGCAGGACTTCAGTCACCTTGTTAATGCTGATTGCTTTTTGACAACCTCTCTGCAGCCCTTGCAGCAGAGCTTCCCGGTAAATTTCCAGGTTCTGAAGGCCCTCCCTTTCATTCAGGTTCCAGTGTAGATCTCCATCTGGGAGGCATCTCTGGGCATACATCTGTGCATTTATAACTCACGCTGGAGCATTCTCTTCTGCCCACCAGGCAGTGGCTTGCAATACCTATCTTCACTCTTCAGTGTTGAATAGCATGAGGAGAAGTTGGAGGCAGTTTTCCCAGGTGGGGTTATTGGTATGGAAGATAGATTTCATGAGGTCTGTTAGGGCTTGAGTCTTCTCAGTGTACACCAGGGCATGATACTTCCAGTTGAGGAGGTCAGTGGTGGTGAACAGTTGATAAACTAGGGTACGCTGTCCTCCTTGAACCTGGCTGGCTGAGTCCACAAAAGTGGGTGCCCTTGTTTCTTGGAGTGGCATTTGCACAGCTCAGTGAAACAGTGGGATGTGTGGACTGAGGTGGGGTTGTCCCGGGCTGGTCCCAGCCAGAGTTGTAGGTTCTTAGTCAGTGGTAGAGTCAGGTAGGAGTGTGGGTGGTGTCCATGGCTGGGGGGCTCTTAAAGATGGGTACATTGGGGCATAAGGAGGGGGTGCCGGCTCCTCCGGTGCCTCTTGAAGAATGGGGGGGGGCTTCAAGGATTCAGGCAAAGCAGAAGGCAGTGTTCCAATCTTCCTTCCCCTCTTTGGGTGGTGACTCCAAGAAGCCATCACTTGACTGGCTGGTCCTCAGAGCCATGAGGGTGGACTTATAACCAGTTGAAGCCATGTATCTGTAGGGGAATTGATGCTGATGGCTGGGGTCCCCAGTCACTACCAGCCAGACTGTCATGACAGCCTTTTTATTCAGTGATCCCTCTGATGGCCACTCAACCTGGAAAGTAGGCTACTCTAATTCACAAAGGGTTCTAAGCCTCCCTGCCTGCATCCTTACTCCATAACCTGTGCACTGAACCCCCTTTTAAAATTTTTAACATGATCTGGAGTGAGGTTCCTTCTAGACTCTGAGTCCCCTCCCCCAATTGCAGTGTAAAGTAGCCACCAGTCACTTCACAGAACTCTTCCCATTCTTCTCACGAGGATTGCTCAGGTGCCTCTTAGCTTTGGCAAGTCACTATAAGCCCCTGACCCAGAAGTCCTGCCAAGCTATCGGCTGACTCTCACCCTTAGCCGTATGAGGGTCACCACTGGTTAGGAGAGCAGCTCAGCACATGCTCCCAGCTTTCTAATCCCTTAAGGTCTCAGTCAGCCAGACATACTTACTCACACTTGCACCAGTACATGCACCAACCCAGAAATCCTGTACTGCCTATGGGTGACTGTGGTTTCTCATCACCGATATTTGGCAATACTCAGACAGTGCCCTGGGAGGTGATCAGGCTCCCCTTCTGCCTACTGGCAGGCCTGGCTACCTGTGGGGGCCCATAACCTACCACAGTTCAGATGTCCGGAAGGTGGCCATTACTATTCCTGCTAGGTCCCCAGAGTCAGAGGTGGGGCTGGCTCTCACCCTGATGTAAGTGACCCACATGGTGGCAAATATCTCACCAGCATACTCAGCAGGTTGTTTTCCCCAGATCAAGGGCTGGCCCATACCGCCAGCTTCCTGGGGTTGACACTAGCCACGCTACCAGTTCCTTGAGCAGCTGGAGGAGGCTGAAGCCGAGAGTTTGCCGGCCAGTGCACCAGAAATGTTACCGGAGCCGCCACAGGAAACGCTAACACCTAGCAGGATGGTTAAAAAGGAAGGACTTTATTGTGCCAGCACCTGGCTCAGTGGACTGAGCCTCTAACAAAGGCCATGCAGAGCTTTTAAAAGTTTCTGCTTCCGGGGGTAGATTGGTTACTTTAAAAAATGCAGGCTGGTGGGTTTACAGAAGCAGAAAAGTGCATGGCAGGAAGACACAGGAAAGAGGAGGGGGAGTGCCTGTTGGGGAATTTCTACTATCTAAGTTTCATTTTCTTGAAACTGGGTTGTTTTCTTAAAACTGAGTGTGTCCTGTGTCAATGACACAGGTCTCAGGGTCAGGCCCATTCCCACCGCTTCCCCAGCAAATGACAGGAGTCTCAGGGTCAGGCCTGTACGTGCCATCTCCCCAGCAGATGGCCTGGGTCTCGGGGTTGGGCCCATTTGCGCCATCTCCCCAGAAGATGATGTGGGTCTTGGGGTCAGGCCTGTACCCATCTCTGCCATTTTCCCAGAAGACTACTTGGTTCTTGGGGTCAGGCTTGTATGCCCTGCTGCTGTCTTCCCAGCCCCTGGCACCATTTCCAGAAACAGCTCTAGTGGGCTGGACTAAGACGGGATCAGCTCTCTGACACCCCACACACACACATTGGAGTGTTCACCTGTGGCCAGAGAGCAGGGAGCATGCCTGTCATTGGAGAAATTGGGGTTACTTGATGTAGTGGGGGACACACACTGTGGGGACCCACGGGTTGTATCACGAGTGGGCAAGGGCAGACCTCAGGATGACCTGGACCACTGTTGGGTGATCTGGGGATTCCAGGTGGCCTTGCACGGTGGGATGCTGTCAGGAGTGGGGTGAGCCTGTGGCTGTTGCTGGGTGCCATCAAGCTGATGCTGACATAGTGGGACAGCCCCATAGGGTTTCCTAGGCTGTCACCTTTACCGGAGCAGATCACCAGGCCTGTCTCCCTCAGAGCCATGGGGTGGTTTGAACTGCCGACCTCTTGATTAGCAGCCCAGTGCTTAACCATTGTGCCACGAAGTCTCCTTGAATCTGTGCCAGGCACCCAGTGGCCTAATTCAGAGAGAGGAAGGAAGCCTGAGCAGGGCTGAGCTCTGTGCCCGCTCCTGTGGGCCGGGAAGGGGTTGTGGTTTGGACAATGCCCACATTGTCTGTGTTCACACATTACAGACTGGCCTCGTCCATGCTGTGTGGGGGCCCAGCTGATGGTGCCTCAGGAAGGGCTGCTTCTCCCCATCCCAGCCTGAGTGACGTAGTTCCCACTGCACCTCGACGTCCCACCCACTTGATGTCCCTGCGCCTTCTCTCTTCAGGTGCCTCTTGGCTTGGCTGCCCCTCCCAGGAGCCTGAACACAGACACTAAGGGTGGCCCCTCTCCCTCCCCATGGGCAGCAGGACCCAGACCCCTGTGCTGAGATGGGAGAAACCACCCCTCTTGGCTTAGGGCTCGGCTGAGGTTGCCAGCCCCTTCTCCCTCCACCCTCTGAAAACCCACCTCCTGGGGCAGGCCAAGCAGGGGCGGGCTCAAGAGGCCACTTCCCCCACTCCCCAGCCAGCCAGTCCCCTCATTGCTGCTGGTCTCTGGTCACGGATCCCAAGTCCCTCCCACTGCGGCCCCATCCTGATGGTGTTCTCCATTGTCTCAAGGTCTCTGTGGAGACAGAACCAGTGAGATGTGGAAAGAGACCCTGGCCAGGCACTTTAGCACCTGGCTACTCATTGAGAGGTTAGCTGTTTGAGGTCACTAACAGGGGACTTGGGAGAAATACCTGGTGATGTGTTTCTGAAATTTCAGTCACTAAAAACCCAGGAAGCAAAGTTCTGCTGTGACACACGGACATACGTGGGGTCTCCATGACTCAGTCAACTCAGCCACACCTGGCTACAGATGTCTACATGAGAGACCACCCCACTGCTGATGAGTCCATTCCAACCCACAGCGCCCCTAAAGGACAGAGTGGAACTGCCCACAGGGTCTCCAAGGCTGTCAATCTTCACAGAAGCAAAGCCCAAACCACACCCACTGCCGTGGAGTCCATTCTGACCCACAGCATCCCTAGAGGACAGAGTGGTCTGCCCCCCCAGAGGGTTTTCAAGGCTGTGAGTCTTTAAGGAAGCTGATTGCCGCACCCTTCCCCCACAGAGCAGCTAGTAGCTTCAAACCACAGACCTTTTGGTTAGCAGCTGTGCATTATAATTGACACCACCAGAGCTCCTCAGTATATATACTTAGAGATAGATTTGCTTCAAGGAATCAGCTCACGTGACTGTAGGGGCTGCAAGTCCAGAGTCCATAGGTCTGGTGCTGGCTGGAGACTTCTGCAGACTTGCGTCCCCAGCTCCCTAGGTTGGTGGCGGCAGGTGGAGAGCAGATTCCACCAGAATCTGTTCACGGTCTGGAGGCAGAACGCACCCTGAGGAATCTCCCCTTTCACCTGATTCACACACGCAGGCTCACACGCACACACACACCCAGTGAGACTCAGAGGTTCTGTGCACAGTCCCCCCCAACCGCCTTCTGCTCCCCACAACTCCCTCTGCTGAGTTGGCACTTGTTCACCCCAAGACGAGCCCCCCTTTCCCTGGCTCGTCTCCTACTGGCTGCCCCTCAGTGCCTTCGACTGTAAAGTGGGGTTGGGCTTGTGAGAAGGCACACACATGCCCTGGGGGAGGCGCCTGGGTGGGCCGCACAGTAGAAGTGTTCTGGTTCCATCTCTCCTGTTCCGGGGCTCGTGACTAGCTTGGACTTGTCTCCTCCGCCACACAGTGGCCCAGCGCTGCAGTGTCCCTGAGAGTTCTTAGGAATACAACTTTCTCCACCTTGTTCCATAACTCAGGTGCAGGGAAACGAGGTGCTGGAAGAGCTTGGGGAACAGAGATCAGTTCTAACTGGGGGAGGTAGAGGATGGTTTCACAGAGGAAGGCATTTGATCTAGGGCTTTGAAGGATGAATAGGAGTCTGTCCGTTTCAGGCAGAGCAGTTGTAACCAAAGTAAAAGGCCATTTCCCCTACGCAGTACAGGTGCAATTTCTGTCATAAGGATCTGGCTGCACAGCAGACCACCCTTTTGAAGCATGTTTCTGCCTCCCATTAGGCAACCTCGACAAACCGGACCAAATACTATGTCTCCTATCGTCGCCATGAATTTTTCCTGATGAAACTGCCGAAGTACGCATTGCCCAAGGTAAGAGCAGGCAGCTGGCTCCACAGCCTGTGAGCAGACCCT